CCAGCGAAGTGAGGTTTAATTCCCGTAGTCTCTCCTCGTAGCTCATACCTCTCAGCTCGGGTACTAGTCTGGTGGCAAATCTTTGAACCTTTTCTAGTTTAGTCTTATTCCTTGACTAGATATGGACTCCATGCTGGGGCTGCATACTCCAGGATTGGCCTGACATATGTGGTATACAAAGTTCTGAATGATTCTTTACACAAATTTCTGAATGCCCTTCGTATGTTGGCCAGCTTGGCATATGCCGCTGATGTTATCCTCTTGATATGTGCTGCAGGAGACAGGTCTGGCGTGATATCAACCCCCAAGTCTTTTTCTTTCTCAGACTCCTGAAGAATTTCCTCTTCCAGATGATACCTTGTATTTGGCCTCCTGCTTCCTTCACCTATCTTCATTACATTACATTTGGTTGGGTTAAACTCTAACAACCACTTGTTCGACCATTCCTGCAGTTTGTCTAGGTCTTCTTGAAGCCTCAGACAGTCCTCTTCTGTCTTAATCCTTCTCATAATTTTGGCATCGTCCGCAAACATTGAGAGAAATGAATCAATACCCTCCGGGAGATCATTTACATATATCAGAAACAAGATAGGACCGAGTACAGAGCCCTGTGGGACTCCACTGGTGACTTCACGCCAATCGGAGGTCTTACCCCTCACCGTAACTCTCTGCTTCCTATTGCTTAGGTATTCCCTTATCCACTGGAGCACCTTACCAGCTACACCTGCCTGTCTCTCCAGCTTATGTACCAGCCTCTTATGCGGTACTGTGTCAAAGGCTTTCCGACAATCCAAGAAAATGCAGTCCGCCCAGCCCTCTCTTTCTTGCTTAATCTGTGTTACCTGGTCATAGAATTCTATTAAGCCAGTCAGGCAAGATTTACCCTCCCTGAACCCATGTTGTCGATTTGTCACGAAGTCCCTTCTCTCCAGATGTGCTACCAGGTTTTTTCTCACGATCTTCTCTGTCACCTTGCATGGTAAACAAGTCAAGGATACTGGCCTGTAGTTCAGTGCCTCTTGCCTGTCGCCCTTTTTGTATATTGGGACCACATTCGCCGTCTTCCATATTTCTGGTAGATCTCCCGTCTCCAGTGACCTACTATACACTATGGAGAGTGGCAAGCAAAGTGCCTCTGCACACTCTTTCAGTACCCATGGCGAGATCCCGTCTGGACCAACAGCCTTTCTAACATCCAGGTCCAGCAGGTGTCTCTTGACCTCCTCTCTCGTAATTTCAAACTCTTCCAAGGCCGCCTGGTATACTTCCCTTTCTCCTAGCACAGTGACTTCACCTTGTTCTGTTGTGAAGACCTCTTGGAACCTCTTGTTGAGTTCATCACACACCTCTTTGTCATTCTCTGTATACCTGTTCTCGCCTGTTCTAAGTTTCACTACCTGTTCTTTCACTGTTGTTTTCCTTCTGATGTGACTGTGGAGTAGCTTTGGTTCGGTCTTGGCTTTGTTTGCTATATCATTTTCATAACTTTTCTCTGCTTCTCTTCTCACCCTGACATACTCATTCCTGGTTCTCTGGTATCTCTCTCTGCTTTCTGGTGTTCTGTTATTCCGGAAGTTCCTCTACGCCCTTTTGTTCAGTTTTTTTGCTTCCATACATGCCCTATTATACCATGGATTCTTGTTTTGCTTCTCGGATTTTTCCTTTTGGGCCGGGATGTATCTGCTTACTGCCTTCTGGCACTTTTGGGTAACATAGTCCATCATATCTTGTGCAGACTTAGCTCTGAGGTCTGTGTCCCAAGGTATTTCCCTTAGGAAGCTTCTCATCTCATAATTTCCCTTTCGGTATGCCAGCCTTTTGTTTCCTAGTTCTTTTTTTTTTGGGGGGGGGGGGGGGATAATTCCTAGCTCTGCCAGGTACTCAAAGTTCAATACACTGTGATCACTCATTCCCAAGGGCGCTTCCATCTTGACTTCCCTTATATCCCACTCATTTAGGGTAAGTATCAGATCTAGCATTGCTGGTTCATCCTCTCCTCTCATTCTTGTTGGATCCTTGATGTGCTGGCTTAGAAAGTTTCTTGTTGCCACGTCCAGCAGCTCTTCCAAACTCTCCATGTTTCTGGTCCTCCATGCGGGTCTCTGTTCTTCCAATCTATCTTCCCATGGTTGAAGTCTCCATGATTAGTAGTCCAGATCCATTCCTGCTAGCAACAGAAGCTGCTCTCTCTATTATGGTAATGGTGGCCATATGTGTGTGTGTGTGTGTGTGTGTGTGTGTGTGTGTGTGTGTGTGTTCTCACTGAGTTGTACACAACTAGTTGTGCTTAAGGGGGTTGAGCCTTGACTCATTGGTCCCGCCTCTCGACCGTCAATCAACTGGTGTACAGATTCTTGAGCCTACTGGGTTCTATCAAATCTACATTTGAAGCTGAGTATGGAGTCAGCCTCCACCACATCACTGCCTAATGCATTCCATTTGTTAACTGCATTGACACTGAAAAAATCTTTCTAATGTCTCTATGACTCACTTGGGTACTAAGTTTCCACCTGTGTCCCCATGTTCGTGTTCCACCCGTGTTAGTTTGTCTTTGTCCCATCCTGTCAATTCCCCTTGTAAATTTTGTAGGTGGTTATCATGTCTCCCCTTACTCTTCTGTTTTCCAGGGATGTGAGGTTCAGCTCCCCAAGCCTTTCCTCGTAGCTCATACCTCTCAGTTCTAGAAACTCAATTTCTCATTTCACCTTCTCTGGTGTATTCACCTAGTATTCACCTAGTTGTGCTTGCGGGGGTTGAGCTCTGCTCTTTCGGCCGGCCTCTCAACTGTCAATCAACTGGTTCTAACTACTACTACTATTTTTTTTCCTCGACACCACACACACACACCCAGGTGCTGGTGCCAGTGGCTGAGCGGATAGCACGCTCTACACGTGATCCTGTGGTCCCGGGTTCGATCCCGGGCGCCGGCGAGAAAAGATGGGCAGAGTTTCTTTCACCCTCTGCCCCTGTTATCTAGCAGTAAATAGGTACCTGGGAGTTAGTCAACTGTCACGGGCTGCTTCCTAGTGTGTGTGTGTGTGTGTGTGTGTGTGTGTGTGTGTGTGTGTGTGTGTGTGTGTGTGTGTGTGTGTGTGTGTGTGTGTGTAGTGTGTGGTGTGGTGTGGTGTGGTGTGGTGTGGAAAAAAAGTAGTAGTAGTAGTAGAAACAGTTGATTGACAGTTGAGTGTCGGGCCGAAAGAGCAGAGCTCAATCCCCGCAAGCACAACTAGGTGAATACAACTAAGTGAATACCCCAGGAAGCAGCCTGTGGCAGCTGAGACACACCCAGGTACCTATTTACTGCTAGGTAACAGGGGCATTGGGTACAAGAAACTTTGCCCATTGTTTCTCGCCGGCGCCCGGTATCGAACCCGGGACCACAGGATCACGTGTACAGGGTGCTGTCCGCTCGGCCACCGGCCCACTGGTGTGTGTGTGTGTGTGTGTGTGTGTGTGTGTGTGTGTGTATTCACCTATTTGTTCTTGCGGGGGTTGAGCTCTGTTCTTTCGGCCTGCCAATCAACTGTAACTAACTACTAACTATTTTTTTTCCACACACGGACACACCCAAGAAGCAGCTCTGTAACAGCTGTCTAACTCCCAGGTACTTATTTACTGCTAGGTAACAGGGGCATCAGGGATGAAAGAAACTTTGTCCATTTGTTTCTGCCTGGTCCGGGAATCGAACCCAGGCCACAGAATTACGAGTCCTGCGCGCTGTACGCTCAACTACCAGACCCCCTGTGTGTACTCACCTATTTATACTCATCTATTTGTGCTTGCGGGGGTTGAGCTTTGTCTCTGGTCCTGCCTCTCAACTGTCAATCAACTGGTGTACAGATTCCTGAGCCTACTGGGCTCTATCATATCTACATTTGAAACTGTGTATGGAGTCAGCCTCCACCACATCACTACCTAATGCATTATATCTGTTATCTACTCTGACACTGAAAAAGTTATTTCTAACGTCCCTGTGACTCATTTTGTACTGTGTACCCAGTTTCCACCTGTGTCCTCTAGTTTGCGTACCACCCCTGTAAAACAGTTTATTTTTATCTACCCTGTCAATTCCTCTGAGAATTTTGTATGTCGTGATCATATCTCCCCTTTCTCTTCTGTCTTCCAGCGACAGTGTTTGTGTGTGTGTGTACTCACCTAATTGTGGGTTGCAGGGGTTGAGCTCTGGCTCTTTGGTCCCACCTCTCAACCGTCAATCAACAGGTGTACAGGTTCCTGAACCTATTGGGCTCTATTATATCTACACTTGAAACTGTGTATGGAGTCAGCCTCCACCACATCACTTCCTAATGCATTCCATTTGTCAACCACTCTGACACTAAAAAAGTTCTTTCTAATATCTCTGTTGCTCATTTGGGCACTCAGTTTCCACCTGTGTCCTCTAGTGCGTGTGCCCCTTGTGTTAAATAGCCTGTCTTTATCTACCCTATCGATTCCCTTGAGAATCTTGAATGTAGTGATCATGTCCCCCCTAACTCTTCTGTCTTCCAGCGAAGTGAGGTTTAATTCCCGTAGTCTCTCCTCGTAGCTCATACCTCTCAGCTGTGTGTGTGCGTGCGTGCGTGTGTGTGTGTGTGTGTGTGTGTGTGTGTGTGTGTGTGTGTGTGTGTGTGTGTGTGTGTGTGTGTGTGTGTGTGTTTGTGTGTGTGTGTCAATTTGACTCTGCGCAAGTTTGACACGTGAGTTCCCCTGTTCAGTCGTTATTGAAGTAAATCTTGTTCTCATATTGCTTTTTTGTACTGTATAAAAAAACACAAAACTTTAATTTAAACAATGTACAATCACAACAGATGATTGTGGTGATTTCTGTCTCCTCAAGTACCACAACAGATGAGTGCTGTGACTACAGTATTTTGATTTATTGAAAATATAATGAACCCACATCCTTGAAAATCATTTAATATGTGTATATGAGCTATATATAATATTTTATAATGTACATATTTTCTCAGCCATGTTTTGTTTATCTGTTTAATGCACAGGTGGATTGTCTGGGATGTTTCGGTGGCAGGCGAGTGACCAGGTGCATGGTACGGGCTCACACATGTTCACCATCACTGCTAAGGAGCTCCACCTCTCCCTCCACCATAACAAGGAGCTGTGGGTGTTTCCTATGATGCAGCAACCCATCACCCCTGCTGTGCTGCTCACTCTCACCAACGATTACGACTCTCATCGTTCTGTGGTATACATAGTCCGTCAAGCTCCCTCGCTAGGCCAGCTGCTTCTAGAGGAAGCAGGTGTTCGAATGCCTGTAGAAAACTTCACACAGCGTCACATCAATGAATCTCGTATTGTTTTCGAGCACACTAAACCATTTTCCGAGCTTTCTACTAGTGACATATTTGTGTTCGATGTGGAAACACCATTCGCTGAGCCCCTCAAGGACCAGGAATTTCACGTGGAAGTGTCTGTGGCCAGTCCAGGAGGGGGAGGTCTGGAGCGGTACCTTGGGCTCGCACCTCTGGTAGTGGCAGAAGGAGGACAAGCCACTGTGCGCCCTGATAACCTCAATCTCTCTGCAGTGATGGAGTTCATAGAGGGCTATCCAGGGGCTGTGAGCATCGACCGGCCCTCACCAAAATTAGTGACTACTGTAACTGTTATCCCTTCTCATGGGGTGTTCACTTTGCGGAAGAGAAACCTAACGGAAGGGTATACCTTCACAGCTCGTGATATTGAGAAAGGTCGTGTTAGATATGATCACGATCACAGTGATACACTCTCAGATACGTTAGGATTTAGTGTCTCTTTGGCAGGTAATGGATCTTCACCTGATGTACTCTTGTTCAATGGCTCTCTGAATGTAAGCGTGACACCTGTGAATGACCAGCCATTCACACTGGAAACAGCAGCACCTGTTCTAAAAGTGGTGCACCGGCAAAATGCTGTTATTACCAATGAAAGTCTCCTGACCACCGATCCCGACAACATGCCTAGTGAGATTATGTATGAACTGATGGGTGCTCCAGACCATGGGCGCCTCATTTTAGCTGATAACTACAGTGTAGCCATTCAATCATTTTCCCAGCTGGACGTGAATACAGGGCGAATTTTGTATGCCCATGATGGCACTAACGGATCAGCAAGGTTCTATTTCAAAGTGTCTGATGGAAAGCACAAGCCAAAATATACTGTATTTACAATTGAAATACAGCCTTTGACACTAGAGCTGGTTAATCACTCTGTCATCCCACTCCGCCAGGCTACCACTGTTGCCTACCTTTCTCCACAGTATCTTGCTGCAGTAACTAATGGTAACCATAACCATATATTCTACAACATCACCAGACCACCTAGGTTTGGTCGTTTATACATGAACGATCAGGTGGTACACACCTTTGGCCAGGTGAATGTCGATAAGGGTGAAGTGCTATATATGCAGATGGAACTGAGTGAACCTGCTGACAACTTTCGTGTTGATATATGGACGTGGGAGGCTACAGTGCAAGATGTGGAAGTTCGTGTGGTGGTTTTACCATTGGTCGAGTCCAAACCACTTATAGCAGCAGTAGGTGGTCGGACATGCCTCTCTCTGGAACACTTAGACGCTTCACAGCTTGCTACAACTACGGGAAGTAACCCTGTCTATAAGGTAAAGAGACGGCCTCGTTTTGGTAGAATAAAAAAGGTGAGCCAACGACTTAGGAGATCAGTTCGCTCACATGAAGTCCATGAGTTTACCCATGAAGAAATCCGAGCTGGTTTAATATATTATGTTGCAAGAAATCTCAATTTAAAGGCTGATGAGCCATTGCATGATGCATTGCATTATGTGCTACAGGTTCCCGCACCTGGGGTACAGCCAGCTGAAGGCACATTGCACTTCACTCTAGTTGAGGCAGGTTTGGATGAGGGTGCAGAACCTCCTAGACACTTGCGGCCAGAGCTTCCACCTTCTATCCGTGGCAGTTCAGAACCTAGTACTCCTGGGACTGGAAACTCTGGCTTGTTCTTGGGTATTCCTAAAGATTATGTGATGATGGTGGTGGCAGCTGTTGTTGCTGTCGTTGCAATCATTGCTGTCATCGTTGTGGTACGATGTGCAACAAGGCGTCGACACTCAGATAAGAGAAGCGACGTTGGAATGGATGCTGATGTAGCGTCACTACCCCCACCACTCCCATCAGATTCAAGACCAAATTCATTTATGACTGATGACCTATCAGAGCTAGAGTGCCGACCCCCAGAGCTGCCATCATCTCCTCGGCCTGGTCGGCACCACCTGCATCACCACCTCCACCATAATGGTGGCAGCGGTGGGTTGGGTCTGGCCGCCCACCTCACAGATTCGGAGGCCTCGTGGCCCCACGACGCCTCACGTGAGGTGTCACCAGCAGTGCCTCAGTGTAAGGTACAGTTTACCCTCTCTCCAAAGAGCTAATTATTTTAAATTTAAATTTGTTTTTTTATTATTTCCTCAAATTAAATTTCTTCACAAAAATTTCAAAGGGTCCTTTGTTTCTTTTACAATTCTTATAATACCTAATTTACCTTCAGCAAATTTCATAATAGCCAGTAACTAAGTGCAAAATCTTTCCTATCATTTTGTTTCTTGATTTTAATTTGTCCTTATTTATTTCCCCTATTGTGGGACAGGTGACGCCCCTCTGTACAGACACAGCGCCTCGTGACCCTCCTTACGACCCCCTTCTGGCTGGCTATCCTTATGGCGTGGACAACCAGCAGGCCGAGGAGTGGGGTCTTTATGAGAAGCACCAGCCCAGGACCACCAACCCTATGCTCAGGAAGAACCAGTACTGGGTATAGAACTCAGCAGGGTGGGCAAACCACCACAAATGGGGTACATAACACACTATGAAGCACCTCTGTTTGGGGTGCAACTCTTTTTACTTTTAATGAAGAGTGGCAATTATATTTTTGATCTACTTTTAATCCAGGATTGTGAAAATATTTTGAATCCTGTAAATAATACTACATATATGCAATACAACATACCAAAAACCAGACTCACTGCAAAATGACGTTACAAAAGCTACCAATGTCCTAATGCTCAATACTGAGTAAATTTTCCCTAAGCAGTAGCTGCTGTATGTAACTTGCACGAGTGTTTTGAAAAATGAGCTTATTTTAGTGCTGATAATTATTCACTGATCTAATAAAAGTATCACTGTGTACATGATGGACTTCATAAGTGGATTTACTCCATGCAAGAACCACAAATAGAAGAGAAATTTGCCATTAAATCCAAAAACTGGATGAAATGTTTTAGTGCCTAAGATAAGAAGAAATTTTTGTGGTTTGGCCTGTGGGAAGAAGAACTCAAAGAAAACTAAAGCAAGTGGTAGTATAAACTAAAAAAAAAGGCAACTCGGGAAATGTTCGTGTTTTAAATCATATTTTTTTCTTACCACGAAGTCCCTAATGTTGCTTTCCTCAGGAAATTCTTATATGTTGAGTTTTTAGGAAGCCGCTCAGAAGCACAAAGTCTGCGCATATCTTTAATGGTTTGTGTAGATTTTGATCTACATGAATATGAAGCTGAAGACTGCGCAGACCTTGAGCCAGTCTGCGCACTCTGACTATTAGTCATGTAGCCTTAGAGTTCATGTGCCCCAGGTTAATACTGATGGAGCTTAAACTCTTGTATATAAGCAGGTCTGTGGCAGATTTTGTAACCAGCCACAGGAAAATAGTGCATCCGTCTATGGCCACTGCTGAGCCCTGGTTGATGTTTATGGCCATTTATTCTTGTGGACGGATGTACCATACCGAGCTATCCAATATCCAATGATTCTCCTTTTGAAAAGGAATTGAGACATGTCATGTAATTCCTTCTTGTTAAATTTTGCAGTACTCATTTTCAAGAGTTGATCCTTCCATCATTGCCCAAGTCTTAATATTATATATATATATATATATATATATATATATATATATATATATATATATATATATATATATATATATATATATATATATATATATATATATATATATATATATATATATATATATATATATATATATATTGTGATTACCCCCCATCAAGTGCATTAAATGTAGAAGTTCCGTTGATGCTCTTTAGGAATGTAACAAAACTGACATATTATTATGTAAGACAGTTACCTAAAATACTGATTGCATTCTGTCAACCATGGATTTTGTTTGAATTATTTATGTATGAATGTACATGCTATATAAATTATACATATATATATATATATATATATATATATATATATATATATTTTTTGTGTTTCTCACGTGGCCCCACAAAAATGAGGTGATTTGATGAAATAGCTATGCCCAAGATTACCATCAAAGTGCTGTCGGGGGTGGTGGTTCAAATAGCCTCGGCTATCATTGCCTTTTGTACGATCACTAAATCACTAATGGTCGAGTGGTTTAAGGCACCGTGTACACCAGTTGCAATGTGCTCTTGGCGGTCTGGATTCAAGTCACTTCTGGGGTGTGGAGTTTTCAGTTATATATATATATATATATATATATATATATATATATATATATATATATATATATATATATATATATATATATATATATATGTCGTACCTAGTAGCCAGAACTCACTTTTTGGCCTACTATTCAAGGCCCGATTTGCCTAATAAGCCAAGTTTTCCTGAATTAATATATTTTTTCTAATTTTTTTCTTATGAAATGATAAAGTTACCCATTTCATTATGTATGAGGTCATTTTTTTTTATTGGAGTTAAAATTAACGTAGATATATGACCGAACCTAACCAACCCTACCTAACCTAACCTAACCTATCTTTATAGGTTAGGTTTGGTTAGGTAGCCGAAAAAGTTAGGTTAGGTTAGGTTAGGTAGGTTAGGTAGTCGAAAAACAATTAATTCATGAAAACTTGGCTTATTAGGCAAATCGGGCCTTGCATAGTAGGCTGAGAAGTGCGTTCTGGCTATTAGGTACGACATATATATATATATATATATATATATATATATATATATATATATATATATATATATATATCTATATATATATATATATATATATATATATATATATTAATATAATTACATTAGTAAGGTCTAGTATTTGCCCTTGAGATGAAGATACAAAGATCTTTATGATGTAAGAAGGCTGTTATTGTTTTCTTGTACTGTGTATGTCACATGACAGGTAACATACACAGTAGGTGATGGTAATGCCATCAAAATTGGTACACATAAATTTATTTTAATAATGTGCCCTTGAAGGTCTCTCCATATCTGCGTCCATTTTTATAAGATATTGGAGGAATTCGGAACGGAATGGTATTGTATATGTTTCTAAACACCATCAACCAGTGAAAACAAAGATTTAACTCATATTTTTTATATGGTACTGAATTTTCTTAAGCTTACTCAGTAGTGTCAATTGAGTGACTCCAGGTGACTGCTAATGTTACTTTCCTCCATATAAAGCAAATGTTTTCAGATATTACTTAATGGTAATATTTTAATAATGGTTGTCTTATTAGCAAATCTTCAAGACTGAACTGTATAAAGAAACTGGACATTTCTCAGGTCTAATTTTGCAAAGACTGATTGCTGCACTTTTTGTAGGAAACTAATGCATCAGATTGTTTTACTTAAGAAAGACTGACATACTCAAGTTCATTTAACATTTGAAATAGTTTATAAAAATCTTTAAGGATATATTTTTCAGGACTGTGACACCTCACGGAGGGAGACATTATGTCACCTGGCAATGGCATAGGTCCCACCGAGGGTAGTGTAGCCTACGAAGACTGACATGGAATGGGTCATCTTCATGTGAAGCACCTGCTGTAGACTTGGGGATGTGGAAACCATGCTTGTCGTCTTTCACTATACCTATGCAATGTAACAGTTTCTCGGGAGACAGGCGATGGTTGAGGTAAGGAAGTGGGTTACGTCACAGCACACACTTATAGAGCTTTGTGTTAATCATATTAGATCACATACTAGTGTATGGCAGAAAACAGTGTGTGTGTGTGATTAGCGTTCCTCGTATGAATGGTCTTCCGTCGCATTATTCATAGGAAATATGCTACTGTACTTGTAAATATATACAAATATTAAGTTATTTTGAAATAAAGAAATGCTCTTTGTATTTGTACAGATTAGTGCCAAAGAATTTATATATTATTTGTAATAAAACTGTAAACGAATGGAAGCATATTACTACTTATCCTTAATTTTTTTTTTCTACAACAGACGTGGCCACACATTTACAATGCTAACCAGCATATATACATTTTCTTCTGTCCTCCATGGACAGGGTTAGAGATGTGTTAAACATACAGTTCAAGGGTTTATTGAACACTCAACCACAGAAGGTGATTCGGTGCTTTTAAATGCTAAGCTAACCTACATATTAATATATATATATATATATATATATATATATATATATATATATATATATATATATATATATATATATATATATATATAGATTTATAATTATATATATATATTTTATAGAATATATATAAAACATATATCAACATATATATATTTATATATATATATATATATATATATATATATATATATATATATATATATATATATATATATATATATATATATATGTCGTACCTAGTAGCCAGAACGCACTTCTGAGCCAACTATTCAAGGCCCGATTTGCCTAATAAGCCAACTTTTCATGAATTAATTGTTTTTCGGCTACCTAACCTACCTAACCTAACCTAACCTAACTTTTTCGGCTACCTAACCTAACCTAACCTATAAAGATAGATTAGGTTAGGTTAGGTAGGGTTGGTTAGGTTCGGTCATATATCTACGTTAATTTTAACTCTAATAAAAAAAATTGACCTCGTACATAATGAAATGGGTAGCTTTATCATTTCATAAGAAAAGAAATTGAGAAAATATATTAATTCAGGAAAACTTGGCTTATTAGGCAAATCGGGCCTTGCATAGTAGGCTGAGAAGTGCGTTCTGGCTATTAGGTACGACATATATATATATATATATATATATATATATATATATGTGGCCCTCTGCCTTGGTGCCCCAATTCACACTGAATACAAGTGTATTTGCAACAGGGCATGGGTTGCATTGCGGAAGCACAAAGGGCTGGCATGCAAGACACAACGAGGTCAATGACATCATCAAGAGAAGCCTCGTCTCAGCTGGGTGCCCAGCGGAGAGAGAACCTCGCATCCTAGGGGTCCAAAACCCAGATTTCCCCGCACTTCGCCCTGATGGCATCACCATATACTCATGGAAGGAGGGTAGACAGTTGGTGTGGGACTACACATGTGTATCCACCCTGGCTGACACCTATGTACACTTCGGAGCTGATCAAGCAGGTGGGGCGGCCAACCACAGGGAAACAGCAAAATCACTCAAGTACAGGCGACTGGAAGGTCAATACCTCTTTGTTCCCATAGCGTCTGAGACGCATGGCCCCTGGGGCAAGAGTGCCTTGGGATTTCTCAAGGAATTGGGTTCCAAGCTCATTGACGTTACCAGAGACCCAAGGGCTTCCAGTTTTTTATATCAGCGTCTCAGTGTGGCGATGCAGAGGGGAAATGCTTGCTGCGTCCTCGGTTCCTGTACAGAAGCGGAGGAGCTTCAAGAGATCCATAACCTTTAGGCATTTGTCTTGTATGTTTTGTAACCTTTAAATACACAATAAAGGAAAAAAAAAAAAAAGGAAGGGGTGGTAGGAGAAAAGCACACAGAAACTGTATTGGAGGGGACCTACATTTCCTCCAATGCGTTATGTGTGGTTTCCTCCGAGGCTATGGGTCCCCCTTCTTCCAGCCAGAGGTGGTACTCTATATAAATAAATATATATATATATATATATATATATATATATATATATATATATAATATATATATATATATATATATATATATATATATATATATATATATATATATTTATATATATTTATATATATTAATACATAACTATATTATTTATATTTGAGAAATACAAATAATCACCATCAAAACCTAAACCCCAAACCCAACCTAACCTAACCTAACCTATGCCTAACTATACATTGAACTTTAATATATAATAATAATAATTTATATACGAGAACAAACATTTTTTAATAAACAGTGCATTAAAATTGAGGAATGCATCTTGGCACTCTTCTAATACTACAGCCCATCACTATAACATCTTGGCACTCTTCTAATACTACAGCCCATCACTATAACATCCTGGCACTCTTCTAATACTACAGCCCATCACTAAAACATCTTGGCACTCTTCTAATACTACAGCCCATCACTATAACATCCTGGCACTCTTCTAATACTACAGCCCATCACTATAACATCCTGGCACGCTTCTAACACTACAGCCCATCACTATAACATCCTGGCACTCTTCTAATACTACAGCCCATCACTATAACATCCTGGCACTCTTCTAATACTACAGCCCATCACTATAACATCCTGGCACTCTTCTAATACTACAGCCCATCACTATAACATCCTGGTACTCTTCTAATACTACAGCCCATCACTATAACATCCTGGCACTCTTCTAATACTACAGCCCATCACTATAACATCCTGGCACTCTTCTAATACTACAGCCCATCACTATAACATCCTGGCACTCTTCTAATACTACAGCCCATCACTATAACATCTTGGCACTCTTCTAATACTACAGCCCATCACTATAACATCCTGGCACTCTTCTAATACTACAGCCCATCACTATAACATCTTGGCACTCTTCTAATACTACAGCCCATCACTATAACATCTTGGCACTCTTCTAATACTACAGCCCATCACTATAACATCCTGGCACTCTTCTAATACTACAGCCCATCACTATAACATCCTGGCACTCTTCTAATACTACAGCCCATCACTATAACATCCTGGCACTCTTCTAACACTACAGCCCATCACTATAACATCCTGGCACTCTTCTAATACTACAGCCCATCACTATAACATCCTGGCACTCTTCTAATACTACAGCCCATCACTATAACATCCTGGCACTCTTCTAACACTACAGCCCATCACTATAACATCCCTGGCACTCTTCTAATACTACAGCCCATCACTATAACATCCTGGCACTCTTCTAATACTACAGCCCATCACTATAACATCCTGGCACTCTTCTAATACTACAGCCCATCACTATAACATCCTGGCACTCTTCTAATACTACAGCCCATCACTATAACATCCTGGCACTCTTCTAATACTACAGCCCATCACTATAACATCCTGGCACTCTTCTAATACTACAGCCCATCACTATAACATCTTGGCACTCTTCTAATACTACAGCCCATCACTATAACATCCTGGCACTCTTCTAATACTACAGCCCATCACTATAACATCTTGGCACTCTTCTAATACTACAGCCCATCACTATAACATCTTGGCACTCTTCTAATACTACAGCCCATCACTATAACATCCTGGCACTCTTCTAATACTACAGCCCATCACTATAACATCCTGGCACTCTTCTAATACTACAGCCCATCACTATAACATCCTGGCACTCTTCTAACACTACAGCCCATCACTATAACATCCTGGCACTCTTCTAATACTACAGCCCATCACTATAACATCCTGGCACTCTTCTAATACTACAGCCCATCACTATAACATCCTGGCACTCTTCTAACACTACAGCCCATCACTATAACATCCTGGCACTCTTCTAATACTACAGCCCATCACTATAACATCCTGGCACTTCTAATACTACAGCCCATCACTATAACATCCTGGCACTCTTCTAACACTACAGCCCATCACTATAACATCCTGGCACTCTTCTAATACTACAGCCCATCACTATAACATCCTGGCACTCTTCTAATACTACAGCCCATCACTATAACATCCTGGCACTCTTCTAACACTACAGCCCATCACTATAACATCTTGGCACTCTTCTAATACTACAGCCCATCACTAAACATCCTGGCACTCTTCTAATACTACAGCCCTCACTATAACATCCTGGCACTCTTCTAATACTACAGCCCATCACTATAACATCCTGGCACTCTTCTAACACTACAGCCCATCACTATACATCTTGGCACTCTTCTAATACTACAGCCCATCACTATAACATCCTGGCACTCTTCTAATACTACAGCCCATCACTATAACATCCTGGCACTCTTCTAATACTACAGCCCATCACTATAACATCCTGGCACTCTTCTAACCTACAGCCCATCACTATAACATCCTGGCACTCTTCTAATACTACAGCCCATCACTATAACATCTTGGCACTCTTCTAACACTACAGCCCATCACTATAACATCCTGGCACTCTTCTAACACTACAGCCCATCACTATAACATCTTGGCACTCTTCTAACACTACAGCCCATCACTATAACATCCTGGCACTCTTCTAACACTACAGCCCATCACTATAACATCCTGGCACTCTTCTAACACTACAGCCCATCATTATAACAAAGTGTTGTGAGGTTCACAACATATAAAGCAGGGTCCCGGTGGCACAGTCGAGTTCCTTCTCGACACATAATCAAGAATTCCGGGTTTGAATCCCGGGCCGGACAGAAATGATTGGGCACATTTCCTTTCACCTAACTGTTCACCTAGCAGTAAGTAGCACTGTTCACCTAGCAGTAAGTAGCACTGTTCACCTAGCAGTAAGTAGCACTGTTCACCTAGCAGTAAGTAGCACTGTTCACCTAGCAGTAAGAAGCACTGTTCACCTAGTAGTAAGTAGCACTGTTCACCTAGCAGTAAGTAGCACTGTTCACCTAGCAGTAAGTAGCACTGTTCACCTAGCAGTAAGTAGCACTTCACCTAGCAGTAAGTAGCACTGTTCACCTAGCAGTAAGAAGCACTGTTCACCTAGTAGTAAGTAGCACTGTTCACCTAGCAGTAAGTAGCACTGTTCACCTAGCAGTAAGTAGCACTGTTCACCTAGCAGTAAGTAGCACTTCACCTAGCAGTAAGTAGCACTGTTCACCTAGCAGTAAGTAGCACTGTTCACCTAGCAGTAAGTAGCACTGTTCACCTAGCAGTAAGTAGGTACTGAGGAATTAGTCAGCTTATTGTGGGGTTGCATCATGGATGGGGTCAGTAATTCAAATTTGGGAGAGGGGGTCCTTGACAAAAGCCTAACGTGTATGA